CCGTGAGGGCATGACAGCGTGTGGGGGTGTGGGCAGGTCTGTGAGGGGGCATGGTGGGGTCCCTGCTAGGGATGGGACGTGTCCCCCCGGGGACCCTGCCAGAGTGTGTGGGGACATGTAGGGATTCTTGTGGGGACATGTTGGGGTCCCTGAAGGGGCATGATGGGGTCTCTGCTAGCGATGGGACACGTCGTGTCCCCATGGCGACCCTGCCAGCGTGTGTGGGGACGAGGCAGGGTCCCTTTGGGGATGTGTCCGAGTCCCTGTGGGGACTAGATGGGTGCCCCATGGGGAGGGGGACAGCCCTACGAGAGAGAGCCAAGCCTGGGTTTTGTGGACTTGGGACATCCCTGAGCCGCAGCCACTCCTCTCTCCTCCCCGTGCTGGGAGCCAGCGAAAAGGAAGGAGGGTGGCCCAGGGGCCCCTCGCTCCCACCGCCGCTCGTGGGGGCCAGGTTGGGTGGGCTGGGGGCCCCGTGGAGGGACGGCGTGGGCAGGGGGGTCTGCACGGCCAAGGGGAGAGTTTGGCTTCGGCTGGAAACTCTCAGGCTAAGGTGGAAGGGTCTGCTCCCACCCACCCACCCACCTCACCACCATGGCGGGGATGGGACAAGGCTGCCTGGCACTGGGGAGAGGAGGAAGAGGAGGAAGGCAGCCTCCACTTTAACCCCCCAGCTGCTGGAGCGAAGCCTCACCACCCCAGCCTGCTTTTGTTCAATTTCTGGTTGTGTTGTCGCACGTTCGGACCAAAATAGCAAAAATCCCTAATAGGAAGCTTCCCCTACCCCGAGCCCTCTGGCTTGTATCTCACTTCAGCAGGTTTCATGACTCAGCAGCCCAGATGGAGCCATCCCTCACAGCCCTCAGCACCAAATCTGTTTATTGCTCCAGAGGCTGTTTTTCCAAGAGCCTCGCTGCTTTATAACAGCCAGCGCTCTTCCTTAAAACCCTGCCTCTCCAGCAAGGGCTCTCGTCACACTCAGCGCGGAGGTGGGCGAGGAACAAAAATAGACAAATTAAGAAAACCTCAAAAGGCCAAAAAATGAAAATGTAAGGATTTCGGCTCTGCAAGCTCAAGGTTTGCTTTGCCTCCGTGTTGCATCAGCTCTTCTCTGCTCTTCCTCTGCTGCCTTTCTTGGAGCTGCACCATCCTGGGGCAGAGACGAAACCCCGGGTGACCTCAAGTCTATCGAGAAGCTGAGAGCGAGCCGAACGCCTGGGGCTGTGTCCCGGGGAGCTGGGGTCGAGGGACCATGCCCTCGACTCGGGGCTCGGAGCCCTTGCAGTGCAATCCTGGGGTGGTGTCAGCCACAGGCAGCGTAGGGAACGATGAGGATGGGTTTTGGGGTGGCAGCCTCAGCAACCTGTGGGGTTTCCTCCCTGAGCATCTAAACCCCTCATTTCCCCTCCATCTGACTGTCATTAAATGAGAAATAGGCTCTTGCACAGCCCTGGCCACTTGTCCCGGGCGGTTCTTAACTACTCGCACAACTGTGGACGGATGTTTTTAATGCTGGTGTAACTTGTGCTTTTAACCTTCACCCTGCCAGGAGCTTTATGTGTTTTTATTGTGGGTTAGGAGATGCAAAGAGGGAAACTTGGGAGGCCTTTGACCCCAGGACGCCGCAAATGCAGCGGGTACTGGAGCTAAAGGGAAATGTCAGCTCCTCCCTGCACTCAGCCCCGGCAAAGGGTTCGCTTGCGGGTGCTGGGAGCAAATGTGGGGAAGGGGGGGAGGCAGGGGCAGGCTGGGCGCTGCTGAAAGGCTAGTGTCCTCCACCCCTCCTGCAAAGAGCCGTTTCGGCCAGAACGGATGCGCAGAGGAGCTGGTGGGACTGAGAGGGGTTTGCTCCTGGGCGCAGGGGATGTGTCAGGCAGCGAGCGCTTTCTCGGGTGCCTGCTCACCCTCTGCCCTGGCATGGGGGGCCAGTGGTGCCTCCGTGGGACCCCCTGCCCCAGGAAGGCAGCACACGCTCCCATCAGGTGCCGTCCCGGTTATGCGGGGCAGCAGCTCTCCTGCAAGGCTGCCGTCGTGTTGTGGGCAGGTTTCCCTGCCTTCCCATAGGATCCTGTGCGTCTCTCGGAAGAGACATGGAGACCATGTTGGAGCAAAGGTACTTGAAGTGGGAGCAGACCCTCTCAATTACACCCTGCGGTGCCTTTGGGGGTGATGGCATCGAAGGGGCTCAAACCCCCTTAGCAGCCCAGCCTGGCAGATACACACCGGCCGTGCCCGGCGCGCTGGGGTGAGCCCAGCAAGGTGCTGTCCTGGGCACATTCCCGAAGGGTGCGTCTGACCCACAGTCCATTAGCTTGTCATTAGGGCTATTAGCTTAATCACCGGGGTGTTTTCCTGCCACGCTCTGTGATCGGCAGCAGCCGCAGGGTCACGCTGCGTGGGGAGCAGCTGGCTGCTTTCCGCACGGCCGTGGCATGCGTGTGCAGGGATCCGCCGCCATCCATCCATCCATCCATCCATCCTCTCCAGTTTCCATGGCTACGCCAGAGTTTACTCTTCCCTGCCTTCGGCCGCCTGCACGGGCATGATGCAAAAAAAGGTCCCCGTGTGATGCAAAAAGCCCAGGGACGTGGGACCTCTCGGGTTTTGGTAGCAACAACTGCATCCCAGGGTGGTCAAACCACGGAGCGACCGTCCCGGCTGCTCTCGTGTCCCAGCTGAAAGGCAGCTCTGAGGCGTTTGGGAGAGCTGTGGCACGGTTTTGGGGGGCTGCCTTCTCCTCCTCGCCTCCCTGACAGCAGCAGGGGCCCGGGGGAGGCAGCGAGGGATCTTCCAGGGATAAATCCAGCCGCAGAGCCGTCGGCTGCCTCTCGTTCAATGCGAGGTGACAGCACGGAGCAGAGATCTTGGAGCAGGGGTTCAGGCTACGGCTTGTTAATGGGGGAGAACAAAACCTGAGCTTTAGGTCACCGTGTGTGATTTAAGTGGCCAACCATGGGTCGCTGAGGCCTCTCGGGGGAAGCAGGGGGATGTCACAACACGGCAGGAGTTTTGTTTGCTTTCCAGTGACACGAGGAGCAGAGGGGGGTTGAGCACCCCAACCCACGGCCAAGTTCCCTGGGGAGGGGGGAGATTTTTGGCTTAGGGGCTGCCAGGACACGGCCGGGGCGCAGTCAGGTGCGAAGGCGTGTGACTGTTTCCAAATCCCCGGGGTGCTCTGACTCATGGGGCCGGTGGGTGAAGCGGGAAGTGTTTCCGTAGCCCAGGTGTGTCGCACTGGGCCGCGTTCGGCTGCGGGGAGCCACACGTGCCAGGGGTGTAGTCACTGTGGGGGTGATCCTGGTGCTCGCCCCGGCATCCCTGCCTGCTCCTCCCGGCTGTCCAGGCTCTGTGGAGGAAAGCCACTGTCCCCCCAAGGCCAGTTGTCCCTCTGTTACCCCACCTGATGGGCTATAGGTGACTGTGGGCTCTATAGGGTCATGGGAAGCAGCTCTGCCATGTACGCTTGTTGTACTGAGGGGTCACCCTGTTGTATCAAGGGGCCCCTTGTTAGAAATCGGGGGAGCGGCTGGGCGCGTTGTTGCAGGGTCCCTCACGGTACGGGCTGTGTTTGGGCAGCTCCCTTGGCGAGACGCTGGGCGCAGAGGGGTGCCGGGGTGCCGTCTAGTCTCGGGAGGGTCGGGTGAGCTTCGCCCGTGCGCTCGCCCGCTGTGTCACGGGGCTGTGCGTGCCTCCAGCCCAGCCGGCGGGTGATGCTCTGCGTCCTTCCCCGCGCCCCGGGGAAAAGGCTCTGTGGGCAGGCGGGGAAGCGAGGGCTGATGGGCTGACCTGACCCAGCAGCTCAGCCTCCCTAAAAGTGCTCGCTGCTCCTTGCACCTCTTCCACCGCGGCTCCGTCCTTCCCCATCCCAGCCCGTACGTCGCTGCCTGCCTCTCGGGCAGCCAGCCCGGGGGCTCTGCCCCATCGCAGGGAGCTCAGCCGCCTCCTGGAAGCCCAGCGTGTTTCTGCAGAGCCCGTCCCACCAGCACCGCGCAGCGGGCTCCGAGCTCACATCCCCATCGCGTTCCACGGCAAGGGTTGGGGAGCGCTGGTACCCGCAGATGCTGGTTCGTGAAGCGTTGGCTTTCCAGACCGGCTTCGTGGAAGAAATGAGATTGTGTGGAAAGCTCAAGGGATGCCAGGTTGCTTTCTCTGGTGCAAAAGGTGTTCCTTGCTTGGGGCCGGTGGGGAGCCTGCGACGGAGCAGGCATCGCCTAACAGCGCCCACACCAAAAAGGCCCAAAAGGCTGGGCACCCCGCGTGCCCTGGGCTCGTGCTTGACTCCCCGTCGGGGTTTCTCATGGTCTTTCCCACTCCGTTGCTGCCCGTTGGGTTCCCACACGGTCCTGACCCAGCGCTGCCCCGGTGTGCCGACGCGCGGCCCGGCCGGTGGCAGAAGCCCGTACGGCTCCGTGGGGGAGCAGCCGGGCAGGACGGGGGGTTGCAGGTGTTGGGAGGCTGCTGGGGGGCTCCGTCCCTGGCATCTTCCTCTGCTTCAGTCGGAGGGAGCGGGCTGGAAACGCGTTTGCTCTCCCCGTGCCACCGCGCGCCCTCGCTCCGCGCTCGCTAATAAATCCGCGCTGTTTTTTCCCGGAAGGCTGCTGAACCAGTTTGTTGGAAGAGCAGAGGAAATCGCTATGGGGCATTGCTGAGTGGTTTGGATTTTTCCCTTTTTCCTGTCGTACCAGCCAGGAGGGAGGCTCTGGTGTTTCTTTAACCGCAGCTGAAAAGCTGCTGTTCCAGCGCGGTGGTGTTTGTCTCCAAAAGGAGGTGGTTTAGGTTTCACTGGCCCCACCTGACAGGAATTCGAGCAGGCGCTAAAACTAGGGCTTCTTGTGCCTTCATTATCAGCCTTATCTGCTCCGCTGCTGCCGTGGGGAGTGCGGGAGCCCCCAGGATCTGCTCCAGGCAGCCCCCACCTCCCCGGGCTGAGTCACCAACGGGCCAAGTGCGTTTGCTGCTGGTGTGACGGCAGCTGTGAGACCCAAAAAAAACCAACCAAAAAACAACCCAGCACTGATGCTTTTAATGACAGGCGAATAACGCAGCCCCGAAGAGGATTCATACCGTGCCCACCTCATGCCATGGCTCTTAGTGGTGACTAAGACCGTGCTGGGATGGAGCAGCGACAGCCTCCCCACATCGCCCGAGTCCTGGCGTAATTAATTCTGCAGGTACCTGTATCGGCACATTAACCCAAACTGGCCGTCTTCCCGCCTGTCCCCAGCCTTGTTCCATATTTAATCTTTCATGTTCACCCGAGTCTCTAATTAAACCAGCTGCAATCCTTAGTGGAGAGCCCGCAGTGTACTAGCGAGGTCTGGCGTTCCCCGAGCACTGTGCAATGCGAGACCCGCGCAGCAGCCCACCAAAACCAACCCCCAGGCTCATTCAGTTTTTTGTTTTGTTTCGTTTTTTTACCTTTGTTTTCCTTTTTTTTTTTTTTTTTTTTTTTCCTCCCCTTGAAGTAACACTGATCCCAAAGCAGGGTCCAAAGTGAGGGCCTTTTAGCAGCAAAGCTCTTAAAAAGAGGTGTGTGCGGACTGTCTGGATGTTTTGCTTTTTTTTTTTTTGCTTTTTTTTTTTTTTTTTACAGCAAAGTCATGACCGGTTAGTTTGAGGTATCTGAAAAGTGCTTTTATTGGGTTTCTTTTCACTGGCAGCAGCTCTCTGGAGAGAGACCCGTGTGCTGCTTCCCAAGCCACAGCCCGAGGAGCCGGCGGAGGAGCCGGCCCGTGGCAGGGGCAGGAGCAGCCGCTGTCCTGCCTGTGACGTCCCGCCTGGCCACCTTCCTATTACAGCATCCCGGTTAAAAATAAAACCACACGCCAAGGCAGTGAATGGGGTTCTGATTTCCCTCGGTTGCTGCACGGGTCCGGGTGATGGGGAGCGATGCGCGTTGTAAATAGAACAGCATATCCATGGCAACCCCAACTTTTCATTATTGTTAATTACTTGCACGGTGCCAGAGCCACGCATGGCGCTTCCCGGCGCGGATAAAGATAGATTCCCCCTGTTCAAAGCCTCTCCAAATGACATCGAGGCGACAGCTAGCTCTTGGGAGGCTGGAGCTGGGTCTGGCAGGCAGCGACGGAGACATTTTGTGACGAGTCAGAGAGGAGCCGGAGGGATTTAAAGGAGGAGGGACCAGCGAGACAGCCAGGAGCTTGGGGGGGGGGGCAGCTTTCCTCCCCAAAACCACCTTCCCCGAGCGTTGGGAAATGGTTCAGAGGGGCCATGGCAGCGTGCACCGGGCTGGGAGGGACAAAAGTGATGGGGAGAGGGGCTGTCCTGTGCCTGATGACCAGCTTCTCATTCCTCTCTGTTTAATGGCGCTCGCGGGAGCGCGGAGGGGAGGATTTTGTCACCAAAGGGGCAGGGATCTGTTGGCGTTGGCTCGAGCCCCTGTGCCCCGGAGGAGCCTCCTGCAAAGCTTGCTCTGGTTCATAAACCGTGCGGGTGAGCTTGGCCTCAGCTGGCACCTTTTTGGGTGGGTTTTGCTTGTCTGTTCGCTGAGTTTTATTTTATTGGAAGTGGTTTGAAAGCACGTGGGTGAAGGGGTCCCCGTCCTGCGGGCCAGGCTGGCCCCAGTCGGTGCTACAAGCGTTAGATTTGTACCCAAAATCCTGCCGTCGCTGTCTCCAGTGCCTGATCACTTGCCCGTCCTTGAACGGAGGGTGTGAGCAGCCACGGGACGGCCGTGCCTCGGTGGGCTCTCCATGGCCACGGCACCGGCCAGCCCCCCCAGCCCCTGGTCCCCATCTCACCCCCCCGGCCTGGCGTGGGCACAGATGGAGCTTTTTAACCCAACAGCTTTTTCCTGATGTGACTTTTCTGGCCCCGTTTCTGCAGCACAACACTGCCTGGTGTTAGAGCCCGAGAGACGCCCCGCGAAAGGGGAAAACCTGTTGGTTGTGCACCTTGACGCTATGCGAGGGAAACATCCCAGTCCCACTGCCTCCCACTCTCCTACTTACCTCAGAGAAGAAAAGTCTCTTTTCTGGTTCCCCTCCTGGCCAGTGGAAGGATCGCAGTTCTCTCCTTTGCAGAGATCTTTTCTCCCCAACATTTTCCAGATGGTCACTGCCCGAAGCAGGGGGCTCGGCAACAGCTCGGGTCTGGGTAGTCCTGTGTTTGGCCAAGGCGGGTCACGCTCACAGCCCCGTTTGGGTCCCTCTGGGGCAAAGGAAGGTCACTGAAGTTTGCTGGGTGGGGATGCGGCTGAGCTCAGGATGGTCCCAGCAGGGACCGGTGTATTTGGCTCCCCTACTGCCTTTTAGTGCAAGTCACGGCACAGGAGACTGGGCACGAGGAAAGGTAGTTTGGCTGTTTGTTTAATATTAAGACAACTGGGAGAAACATTCCCAAGGATTTACAGTTTACTTTGTCCCCTCCCTTTGGCATTCCCAGTCTGTACAGTCTCAATTGCTACAGGCTTTAATCTTCAACATGTGGTTTATTACTGCTGCTTTTTCTTTAAATATTACTGTTTTCTAGGTAATTTAGTGGTCACAGCCATACAGCCACTTTTAGACATTTATCTCCTCTCTCGTGGTGAGAAGCTGATGGATATAGGTGGAGGCAGTTGCGTGACGTTTAGTCTCACTCAGAGTCCAGGAACATGGCTGTAAGATTGTTTCAAGCCATTTTGATTTTATTATAAACCAAAATACTTCACGTTCAGTGGCACCTCAGGTACACAGGATAATTACTCTGGGGAAAAAAACCCAAACCAAATCAAACCTAAATAGGTATCAGTATAACTGTAGCTCAGTTCAGCTTTTTCACGAGATCCCAAAGTGGAGAGCAACCAACATCCCACCGGCCTTGGCTGTTAGGCTACTTATGGGCCATTATTTCAGCGTTATACGTTAGCAGTGGAAGCTGTTTGATAGAGATCACTGTCTAGTGAGCCACGGCGAGCTGCATCTGAAAAGGACCATCTTCATCATCCAGTCGCATTTTCCAATGCAAACGTTTTGTTCTGAAGCCGTACGATGGATCATCTGATGTGACGGGGTGTGTGGGGGGGTAGTGACTTCTTGCACCTCGTCATCGCTTTGTCGGCCAGCGGGGAACGTCGCCGCTAATGCGGTAGCCGAAAGGCCCCACGAACAGGAGGGTGGGAAGGGCTCGAGTGTGTGCTCCGGGCAGCTCGTTGTGCTCTTCACCATGATCTTCGTGAGAGAACGTCGGGGTACTGAGTGTATTTATGTTCCAAAAGGCAGCTCTGGTTGTACCATCCAGCCTTTCCAACGAGCCGGAGCAACGATGACTTAAACTGAGGGATTATATATAACTTGACTATCACAAATCAAGTAGCAAGCAGATGAAGCTTACTGGTTTGTACGGTTCTCTCATGCTGTGATATGTGCTAATATCACATAAAAGTAACAACTGTTGAGGAGCTTCCCTGCAATGTCTTTTTCCATCCTTTATCACAATTAAGTTAAAAAGACTGGACCACTGTGAACTCTATTTTTACACCCTCGGGCATGTGCTATCTCCTTTGAAAGCTGCCACTGTTTTAGGAGTACAAGAAGGGAGGGGACTGCATTTCTATACCCCTGAACTCACACAAAGTCAAAGTGTGACTTTCATTGCGTGCTGCTCTTCTGTCCTTATTCTGTGTCACTGTCAGCATAAAAGCACTGTGATTCTCTTTTTAGTTACAAGAGGTGTTAGAAATGAATGTCCATTCACATTTAAGATTAGCTTATATGGCATATGATTCTTTCCAGCGCTACGTGGCAGCATAATTCTGACAACAGCAATGTTAAACAGCAGAGTCAAAAGGAAACCGGACAAAGAAATGTCAGTATTCACACCATTTAACAATGCTCCCTACTTGTTTTTGCAAAAAAAAAAAAAAAAAAAAAGCCCCAAAAGATTTTAAACAAAAGGAAATGTCCTTCATTCAACACTGTTAAAATCTTTCAGCGCTGTCAAAGTGACTTCAAAGCTTCTCCACATCTGTCTGCTCCAGCCAAAGTGCTGATGTCTGTCCTCAGGCTTTCGTGATGTACCCTTCTCTGATAAGGAAGTCATAGATTTTCCTGGTTTTGTTCACATCGATCTTGATGAGTGCTCTAGCCTGAGCTAGTCTCAGGCCTCCTTGTTTGTTACACTCGTTCACTAAAGCAGCTTTATATTCTAAATAGGCTCCAGGGACCAACCTCACCATCTGACAGAGCTGGAAGACAAAAGGTGAAGTTAATAAACGCTAACACTTGTCATGCTCTTTCATTTGGTGATCCCTGTTGGGGGGAGTAACATTGTGAATATTTTTCTGCAAACATTTTCAATGTGGTTGTTTTTTTTTTTGTTTTGGTTTGGTTTTTTGGTTTTTTTTTTCGTTTTTTTTTTGTTTTTTTTCATGGGGGAGGCATGCAGTAATTGCATTAGTAGCTGTTTCGATCCACAGGTAGGGAGGGGAGCAACTTGCTGGCTGCTGCATTCAAAAACATTCCTGACTAAAAAACAAACTAGGAGGATGAAAGCAAGCTCTCAGCTCACAGGAGCGTAACTATGAGTGTGTCCTGCGTGGGCGTTGTTCTTTACAAACCAAGGGAAGTACACATGCCAAAGAGACTTGCAACCAGCAATTCAGCATGCTGGACCAGAGCCAGGGAGGGCATCTGTCTATTAATCCCCTGCAGACTAAGTCTTTAATACCTTTCTACAAAAGCAGCCATGCACACAAACGCCTGCCCCCTCCGGAAGTCTAGGATGGAAACTGTGCAGGGAGGGCATGACGTGTTTGGAAGTTTCTTAAAAGGAATTGCTTTCAAAAGCCTCTGTGCTCTGCTGTGAGGTTGCAATGCTCCCATTTAGCTTCCAAATACCAGCCGCCTTCTACATGGTGCATTGTATTGCTCCCAATGGAGATACTGGCTGTCTCCTCCTTTTAATAAGGAAATGCTTAATGATTGTTCCTCATTGATAGGAAATTGCAGAATTCAGAGGAACTCAGACTTTATGTCTCAGCTGATGAGGAAATCAGATTCCCCATATATACTAATGTCCTAGTCACAATTATTTATATGCTGAAGGGAGCCAGAAATGCCATGTTCCATGGTGAATCTGTGATCTGATTTTCAATGCTGGCATCCCCAGAGAAGGGGAAACTGCTTCCACACAGGGAAAAGTCTGAAATACATTTGCATTTCACGTACACTGAAATCTGCCCTGTGGACAATCTAAAGACACAGATTATGACTTCTATTAAAAAACAAAACAAAACAAAAAAAAAAAAAACAAAACAAAAAACCCCCCAAAACCAAAAACCAACAACCAAACTTTCATTTCAATAGTTTTCCAGTGTTGCCTTTCACTGAATTAGAGGACAGGCCTACACGGGGCTGCAGAAGAAAGTGAGCCTGAAGCATCCAGCAGGCCCCCTGCTGCGAGGTTACCTCTCCTGGGGGTTGCTGCAGGAGTTGCAGTCCCACTTCTGGCTGCTCTGCTGATCTTTTCCTGTGCCTCTGATTGCTTTAGGGGACTGCAAGAGCACTCTACATGGGATTGCAAACCGCAATACCAGGCCAAGCTAACAACCCATGGCTTAAAGAAAGCCAGGTTCCATTCTCTGCCATCTGTGCGTGCAAAAAGCTTCATATATGCACTGTAAAGCAGAAATATGGAAAAAACCCATGAACAATAGACTGTTATCACCTCTGTGGTTCACATTAGTGTTACAGTGAAAAACCAACGAAAAATGAACCATAACAGGTTGAGGTTTGGCTGTGAGATCTCTATAATATAGAAAGAACTCTGCTATTCAGGTTCAGTGATGTGTCCAGTGGGCCCCCCGATTAAATCCTCTGCCAGTTTTAAAAACCAGTGTTCATTAAGAAAAAAATAACCCTTCTGCTCAGCCCAGTTTCACAATGGAGGAAGAGAGGATGTCATACTCTAGATGTTATAACAACTCCTAATAGCAGCTTGGCGTGCTCCACCTTTCTTTGCTAAATAAGCTTATTTGCTGCAGCTATCTTGTACGTATAGTACAGTAACTGAAATTAAGAAGCCAACTTGGAAGACTTGAATGATTTTTGTGAGCCGGAAAGAGTAGTCAGGGCATATAGCTGAGGTGATATTCATAGCACCTGAGACAGATGGTGTGAGCACCACTGCACTGTGAAGATAAAAGCTTTACATAGATTATCTTTCCATTCCTTTCCTCACCTCCTTCTCCTTCTCGTTAAGTTTCTCTGTCCCTGGGAGACCTGTGAGGTTCAGTGGCGGGGCACTCCGTCTACCTGCAGAGACAAGAAAGGAAAACACTGAAAGACTTTGAGCAGCTTGGCTGTGGCTGTTCCTTAGGTGTGTTATCACAGAGGCAATTAAATCCCTGCGATGTTAACCCAGTACGATCCAAGTGCTTATAGACAAGGTTATTTAGGGCTTAATGTAAAAACTGCACTGATTTGATAGAAGGTATGATTTTGCAGTCGGTGGAGTTAAGCGCGCCGTAAATATTTGCATGAGGACTCTTACGCTGTTAACCCTGGCTCGCTGGCTTTTAGGAGGAACTGCAAGACCATAGCTTTCTGTCAAATTGGCACTGACTGTGGTTAAGCTGGGCTGCACCTCCTGACTAAACTGCCTCTTCCAGCCAGGGTCAGGGAGGTCAGTGCTGGTGGAGGGTGTGAGCAGTGCGCAGGGCTAACTCCCAGCAAGGGTGAAACCAGCACCCTGCAAGGATGCTGGGGTTGCTTCTTGGTGTGATAGCAGCCAATTTCTCTGGCATCACTGATAACTTCCATGAAGCGGAGTTTTCTTTAAATGCCTTTAAATACGATGCAGATATTGTAAAGCAAATGCAGTCTGGGGATTTATTTTTGTCTGATACGATAAACAGTACTGAAAGAAATAGCTATCACAAGGTAGTGTGATAGTTCTCACTTTTGCTATTGTGTGTAACTTTGCTGATCGTTAACTGGTGCAGCTTAAACTTTCACGAGGGCTGTCTACTTGCAGCGCTGTTTTTTGTTTTGTTTGGGTTTTCTGACACTATTTTTTTTTTAAACTTCCAGAGCTCAGAACAAAGCTAAAGTTATTTATTTATATTTTTAGCAAGTCTATTGCCCCTGTACTGTGGGCTGCATATTTAGCACTGTTAGAGGTAGGTGTCTCTATCCCAGGACAGACTTCCCAAATTTGGCAAAGTGATAAGATCTTGGGAAATCTGCAGCTCTGTTTTCCCAAGGACTGTGCTGGCTGCTGCTCCAGACCCTGCCCTGGCTGGGTCCAGCCTCTGGGACCGGGGAGTGAGTCCCTCTTTCTCCTGTGAATGTGTAGCAAACAGATGGGAGTCTGGCTGGATGAGGGGAGCCTGATTGGGAATTGAAGGATGAGAAAGAAGCAGGAGTAGAGAGTCTCTGGTAGGTGTAGAGGAGTTATTTCCCAGCACTGCTCCCTCTCTCTATGGCTTGGAATGAGCGTGCTATGATGAGACATGACAGAATTTGGTTTTACTCTTTTATAAGCCTAGGAAATAACACATACACACACACAAACTACATTAAAGAAAACATATTAAAGCTGCAAAGTCAAATCTAGAAGTGAAGTTAAGCAACATTAATTTGCCCTCTTGTATATTCAGTATGATGCAGCCTTTAATTATATAGACACGTGGCAGTTTTTCTGCAGTATCCTTGCCTTATTCAGTATGCAGGATGTTTGCTTAATTGGCAACTATATGGTATTTTGTTTGGGTTTTGTGATACTGGTTGTAAACACTGCATGCTATCTGAGTTCCATAGGCAAAACAATTCATGTTCTCTTGGGCTTTTCTCCTTTATTGGCCACTGAATACTTGGCAAAAAATTAATTTCATTCTTCATACTAGCCCTTCAGCTGGGGGGGATAGTGTCCCCATTTCATGGACTCTGGATGCCCAGCCTGAGATACACAACGTTATTTTTTCTTCAAAATACCAGAGCTCAGTGATCACCAAATATGTTTAGAACATTGTGCATACTGCAGTGACTAATTGCTTGGTGTTCTGACCCAAATTTCCAAAGCTCCTGGCAGAAATTAAGAACAACATACAGACTCAGTGTCCACCTCTGAGAAGTTTGGTTCAAGTGGTTTATTAGCATCCACATAAAAACTGAATGTAGAGACAGAGCTAGAAGCCAGTTTTCCCTGGCAACATTTAACAACCTTATAGTAAAACTTTATCCTAGTCTCATTCATTGCATGCTACCCTGTGACCTCAACAAACAAGATGGGATTTTATAGAATTCTTGTTCACGAGTGCTTTGACTGAACCCTGAATCTGTCCTTACTGGGCACTGAAATAAGTGTAGGGGCCCTCTTGGTGGAAAAAAACTCTAATTTGTGATGATAGAATTAACGAATATAAAAGCAACTTTATAGAAAAGTAAAACTGAAGTTGCATAGGCAACCTGTCTCATCTCATTCTGTCACTCTGGAGCACTTGATGCTGCAACCACTGCCTGCTTCTCAGGCAACTGGGTTTTGGTCTTCTGCCCTCCCAAATCTGCTTTTTGTCATGTTCATATTGCTATGGTATGTGCTGTACAGCTTCATTAAAAACCTGGATTAGCTTTATCTTTTAAAGATAAAATTTTGTTCTCACGTGAAAATTCTTTTCTTTCCTGCCTTGTTACTATAGCTTTAGGGTGGGTTTTCCCCCTGTAGTCAGAAAAACCTAGAAATTCAGGAAAAAATCCTACAGGATTTGTATGTGGAGTGAGTTACAGATTGAGGTAATGTTGACTTAAGCAGTGCTTAACCATGAGACTTGAGGACTGATGCTTTAGCACTCAAGCAAAAGAGTCACTCTCCACTGGCTGTCAGAACAATACTACTGATGTATGGCTGGCTTTTTATCACAGACCATCATCTAACGTTTACCTGAATTTGAAGGAACTGGTACCGTGGGACTCAGGCCGGAATCACTGAAAAGAAAGGAAGTTTTCAAATTGTCTTCATGGTTTTTTATGAATAACTGCATATATTGGCCCTGAAACTACTTTTTTTCCCCAACTGCTAATAATTACACAATTCAACTTGCATAACCCAAGCCCTGATCTCAAGTCAACACGATTTCTAAATATTTAGTGCTCCCAGATTGAAGACCATGTCTGAAACATGTTAAAAAAAAAATGGGGGAGGCAGGGGGGCCAATAAAATATGTAGTGGAGACTGACTGGGGTAATTATAAATGATCTTCTCTGACCATGTGGCATACAGGATGCGCTTCCTTCGCATTGCAGCTTGCTCCTTAAATCAAAGTGCTTGTGCAGGGTGACTACACATTAATAATGCTGCTACATCTAAAATCATCTGAAACATTTCAAGTGTCATCTGTGCCCTCATTAATATCCATAAAGACCTCATTTCCCTCTATGACTTTATTAACAGCAGTTAAGTTCTTGAAATATAAAATACATAAAACTGAGTTTTTTGCCCTTTCTAGTCACTTGCTTGTCTGCACTTCAACAAGCACTACTGCTGTTATCCAGTTTCTTGCCCTTCTGCATTTTGAAGACCCTTCCTACTGTAATAAATTGGGAATGCATTTGTTACTATCAGAAAAATGTTTGATGCACCTTTGTGACTAAAGCATAGGTGTGTAAAATGCACAGTCTTACTGTGACCGTACATATCAGCTTGTCGACTGAGCCACTGCTGGCAGGCACTGCTGTCCTGGATGTACTGCAGGACTTCAGAAAGCATGGTGCGCTTCAGGCGTTCCTCATCTCTGGTCTTCTTGAGGTGATCGTATGTTCTGGCACCTATGGAAAACAGATGCCACATCCTCACAAGATGCCTTGGTCAAAACTTTCAGACTGTTGTTTTTCTGCTTTAGGAAGTGAGAAACTGTTCTCTAGCTCTGGACCAGACTCTGCTATTCTCCCTCATGACAACTACTTGGCATCAGAAGGTATTAGATTCCACCCTGCACCCTTCCCCCCATTAATTTCAGGCCAAAAACAAATAAGAAAGGCTTCCATGATCCAATTCCAGGCCGTTTCATTTATGTAGAGGTCTTGGGCCTCTCCCCAGATATCACACTTGTTGATAGCCGGTGGAAGTGTCCAGAGATAAAGCACTGGAGACCACTGTACCACGACACATATTTTTTTTTTTGTCTGAATCTTTTGCAAAGTGGTGACTAAAGCAGAGCTCTGCTAGACAGTGCATTCTCCAAGCCAATGGCTCAAACTAGCTTTAAAAAAGCACAGCTGGACTGCAGCATTATTGCTAAAGCCTTATTCAGTTAAAGAGCTAGGCAAATGCATTTCAAAAATAAGTGTCTTTTTATTTAACGCATCCTAAATGTAAAATCATCCTTCCACACCCTGATGAATGAGAGTGGGCTGAATAATGCATCAGGTACTTACTACAGAAATTGGTGATTCCTGCTGCTCTGTATTCCTGTAGTCGCTTTATTTCCCTTCGCAGTTCAAATTCCACTGTTTTACCAAAAGAGTAAGCAGAAGGGAAATCCAAAAAACAAATGTGGGTCAGTGGGGGTGGCAGTGAACTGTGGTGTATGAGAAACATTGCTATTTCTTGTTTGTCTACACGGTTTGGCTATCAAGTATACAGAACCCCAGACAAGGTTAACCTCTCTGCACAACTCTGTATCACATCTCAGACTCGCTGCGTCCTAACGCTCTTTGATCACAGATTTAAGCTGGTTTTTAGCATTTGTCTGCTCAGAAAATTTATTTTACCTCCCTGCTTTGACAGTTTCTTTGCCATACCCTGGACAAGGCAAATAACAATAATGTAGGATTTCCGGAAGGCATTTCAATAGGTTTGAAAAACCACTCCATCCAGGCTCCCTATAGCATCTAATATTGCCTTTGAACTATGATTTTCATGACTGGACCTTCCCAAATCCTTCCTTGCCGACAACTCTTTTCCTGCAGTCACTAAGATTAAATACCCACGTTTCTTTTGCTCAGAGATATTTACTGCCTATAGCTTTTATCAGCTGGCTTCCAGACATTGCTTAGTTTTACAGTGAGCAAGTCTGCTTGTCTTGAATTTGTTTACTTATACTACTCAAGACATCTGTATAATGCGTGTACTTGATTGTCAGGTTAACTTGAGGACTTTGCTATTGCTACAACAGCAAAACCAGGTCCCAGGACTTGCACTCGCATGTAAGACTCGTGATTTTGCAGGATCATACTTTTGGTATTTCACACAGGGTGTCCTGAAAATACAGTCACAACTATTTAAATGCCTTGTTCCTTCTAATGAGCAACAATTTTCCCAGTTTAAGTCACAGAATTAAGCAGGATGTAATGACTTGTACTAGAATTTGACTAAATGCATGCTATGATTATGCGTAAAGACTCGAGATGACTCGGTGATGGAACAATGCTCTCCCTTTAAGGTAAGGGACATAATGACAGCTGTACTATATAATTATGTACCTATGTAATACTTTAACATATATCTTTCAAAGAACTCACAATTTGCTGCCAGGTCCCCATCTCTCAACACACATAAATTCTAGGGATTTTGTTCTTTCAATGATACAGAGTCCCAGTAAACAAACAGTGGTCTTTTGATAAGAAAATACTACTTCTAACGCATGACCAGTATGTTCAATCAACTGAGATATCAAACAAAGAACTCAGACACAGGTTAGTGGAAAAAAAGTTGCTGCTCATTTAATGTATCAAACCACAAATGTATTTGTTTTTCTGACATAGTTAGGTGGGGGAGGAGGAGAAAAACAACCTCCTGCCCTCCAAGAGTGGTATATATTTAGGAAAGTTTGTAGCTGATGCAACCCCTCATTATGCCTGCTGAAGAACACACACGCTAAAATCCTCAGAATACTTACATGCATGGCTTTCAATGAACTTATCATGCTCTACTGGTCCAAGAATTCGAGCAAATCGTCGCATTGTTTCATAAAGGTCTTGAACCTCCTTTGGATATCGCCTTTCCAAAACTAGAGGGGGAGAAAAAGTGACACACCTTACCACTCCTACTGTGAGAATAAATTCCCTGGAACCTGAAGTGACTACCAGTCTCTGTGAACTGTCCAAAGATGCAGATTTGGTGCACTTCTTGGCCATTTTGGTATCACAACTACAGATTGCTGAGTAAAAAGCAACAAAATTATACCGCCCTTAAAATTCTAAAAGCATAAAGGATGATATTTGAATGTTATTTGATAATTTATTAGAATAGTGAGATGTACTTAAAAGGCCCAGATTTCATCTTCACCCCTCTCCCTACTCAGTGGAGGCCAAAATGCTTCTGAAGAGCAATTCTGAGGCAGTAACTAAAAGACTGAGCTGGGAGTAGTTAGAGCCAGCCAGCTGGAAACAGCGCAGGAAATCTGCTGGAATTCAGATCATCTGAATATGGTCCAGTATGAATAAACCACAGTGGTGCACTGGAAACAGTGAACATGAAAAGTTTTGCTTCCTGAATACAGGCCACTGTAAAGTGAAGCAGTTACACCTGATACTCACTCTGGAATTTTCTGAGGTTGATTAGGCCATGATCTCTTATAATTCTGTAATTGAGAGCAAAATGGTATTAATAACGGCATTAACTCATGTATTACCTCATAAATACAAAGGCTTCAGAAGAAAGTCTGATTTAGACCAGCAGAGGGGTCTATAACTAAATGCGTATGAAATTTCCATAATCCTTGAGTTGGCTAGCTGAGAAACATGATGTAGTGATGCAGCATGGCTTTAATCAGGGTAGATTTTGGATCACGGTGTGCATTAGTCCAACTCTGACAAGGCTGAGCACAAAGGGAGCTACAATTGCTTTAAAGGTTTCAAATTGCCTCTTTAGGCACAGATTTTGCATCTGTAATGTCTTATAACTTGTCCTTCCAAAACTGGAGGTAAAGGAATGTCTCATGAAGCATGATTTCCAGCTTCAGAGAGAGACAAACATCCTTCTGCTAGAGCAAGGGTGAGAGATGGACTGTAAATTTCACCACTGGGAGCAGGATGAAGGGATTTTTCCATGACAGCTTAGATTTTAAAAAGAGGAACATAATTTAGGTAACTCATAAGTTTGAAATGCTCCTGACAGGATCAGGGAAATGAGCAGAGTAAAAAGGCAGGTAAGATATTTACAAGTGCATGACAAATACATTTGTCACAGGTTTCAGCAAATGTCATGTGGTCATTGCTATGTGGCAATTTGATAAACACCCAACTTCTGCAATGATAAGAGATACTACAAAGTTGGTCTAGTCAAGGGCAGGTTGGAATTTGCTCTATAAAATCCATTCTATTTTCTTTAGTATGTATAAAAGAATATTCCTGTCCCATGTAGAGAAGCCTTTATGAGACTGACCAGCATTTTTATGTCATTTTCCAGATTTTTGTCCCATCCTGCTGTAGAAACTTTACAAAACCCAACACCGACTTAGGTTATGTAACTGAGTCTTATGTCACTTTCAATTAGTATGACATGATTTATCATAATGGAAATTATATCACATAAATATTTTTTATTTATGAATTATAAAGAACCAGGTCAATACATATCAACTCTTACCTGTCATTCAGCAGAACTATGCTGCATTATGAGGAGAAGGAATGGAGGAGTCTTACTCCAAATTACTAATTCTTCCAGCAGGGAGTAATATAGCAAGATATAATTTTAAATATTGAACAAAGTATTTGAAAGTTATAATAAAATTGAATTTAATTAATAGATTGAGTCATTCTAGAAAGCTGTCAAATGAACTGAATAAATTATTCAAACTCACGTCAGCAATATAGTTATCTTCATTACACATTGTGGAAAACTAACTTATGGACCACTAAGAATTAAGAATAACGATGCAAACATTTCTATGGAGAACGTGGGGGTCTAGCAATTAGTCACAGACTGCCAACTCTTTTTTTTTTTTTTTTTCCCCTGAAGTAGAAATTGAATTATCTCTAGTCCATCAGCATTACCCAGGGAACAAAAAGAACAGAGATTTTACCTATTTTTTTCTGGTTCCTAGCCCTGGATCTGGGACTAGTTTCGCTGATAGTATTTCAGTTTCTCATGCTGCAAAACGGCTACGTGATCTCATAAGGTGTGCTAGAAACTTCGTTATTATGTATAACTGGATTTGTCATAGTAATACAAAGAGCACTGCGTACGTGACTTCTGTGCACTAAAAAGGACTGAAAAATAGGCTTTTCACAATTAATGTCTTGTTTTGAGAGTTTAAAGGAGAGTCACAGTGTGTAGAGGTCCTTTGTCAACCGTGTGTACAAATAAGTATCAGGGTCTGCTGCTTTGTGTTTTCTGGACTGGAACCATTGCTAAAGCCAGGTGCCTGATCTTAAGCTGCACACAGGAGAACCATATATCCAAGATGAAGCCTGTCATGCAAATCTCATAGCAGAAGGTCTCCATGCATGGGAATTGTCTGGAAGAGTGCTATAGGAAATCAATATGTTTAGTATTGGGACAATATTGGGGACTAAAACGTGGTAATGAAGCAAAGGAACAGCGTTACTGCTTGGAAACTCACTTTTTTCTTCTCTGTCTTTCCTTTAACCTGGAATGATAGATATCTACAACTGCAATCTTCAGAGCTGCAAAATAACAACAACAAAAAAAGATTACAGAATACATAAGTAATCACTGTATTGGTTTAATTTTCAAGCCTTTACATTCATGGTAGGCTGAAATGGTCACTCTGCTGTTTTAAAAATCACACAGCAATCTTGCAGGGGCATAAACTCACTAGAGGCTAACCTGCAGACTATACATGCTACCTGTAGTAGCTTCCTTCTGCTTACTCCTTCCAAATACGTTACTGCCTGTAAATAATGAACCTGGATAGATCCTGAGGACTCTTCTCCTCTTCTTTCTTGGACTGTTTTACTATTAGCACTTCTTTGTTCTTTCCTACATGCAATTGTTAAATATTCCTTCTCCTGAAAAGCAAATCTATCAGATTTAAGGATCTGAGGTATCATATTTGGACAAAGGCTTCTTTGCACAGAACAAGGAACTCAAAAATATAAATGCGGTTCTGAACCGTGAAGATTCGAAGTAGCCTTTGCTACGCTTCTTAAAAACATCTACAAGATTTTAGCTTGTTAACTTCTAAACTTATCTGTCTGCTAGAAGAACAAAAATAATAGTTCACGACAATGCGAAGCAGCACAGGAAAAAGCTATGCTCATTAGAAATCATATCCTTTTCAAAATCAAATCTGTCTGCAGTCTGGCTGATCCACTTGGAGATCCTTCAGCTTCTTTTTCCTGTAACCATTAGGTTAATAAACTTTTTTAGTGAATTCTTGAAAGAAAAGGTAGGGAGACACCTATCACCTTCCCTTCCCTCATCTTGTTAAATAATACAAAAATTACAGGTCATTAAATAAGTCTAGAGTTGGCCAATTTCTTGGCTGGCTTTTTTTCCTTTATGTTAATCATTTCAATACACTCGCAGAAGGAAAGAGCCTGAAGACTTGACAGTGGGTTTACACTCTGTAGAGACAACACGCAGCTCTTTGAAACGAAGCAAGAGCATGTCCCCTTTCAGCCCACCGTGCTGTGTAAACAGAGGTGGCCCAAGTATGACAGAATCCAGAATCCACTCCTCTCTCTGTAGTTACAGGAAAAGAGCAAAACTGATACTGGCAGTTCATTGACTGCACTCTCCAATAAATAATTAATAATGCAGTTAAGAAAGAAGTGTGGTTATGTGTCTGTTTAAAAATATGTATTTATATGTAAACACCAGGAAGCCCCTAGCCTCTAGGCAATTCATCTGTGCAGTCAGTCCTCTAGGTAATACAATTTCTTACAAACAGGGACAGCTAAAGCCCAAAAGCTGTGCCTATTAGCTCAGGAGCCAGCAGCTTTGAGTTACACTTGCTGATCTCATATTAGCATAAAAAAATCTTCAATTTACACAAAACTAATCTGATGTTAATCTAGGAGTAAAAGATTACCTATGAAGACAGGAGGGGTGGGACAATATTCTTACTTCTTTTTGCAAATTTATTGCAAAACCAGAGCATTCAAGAGCCATTGTGTATTTTCACAGAGAGGTATTTAAGTTTCCTAATTTAAGAACAAGCACAGGTAGCAAATTCTCCTTCCTGCTAAAATGTGGGAACAAGAAATTGGGAAATGCAGCTAGTTAAACATGAATGAAATATATTACCAAGTGCTGGAATCAGTGCCAACTTGTGGAAAATATTTTTGTATTTTTAAACTCTCTGCAAGCTAAGCTAACATGTTATTTTCTGGGGTTTGTGTGGGCAGAACTTAATAAATACATGCAGAAACTGCATTGGGGAACCTCTATAAATATCACAAGTAATTATGCACCTATAACCATTGCATTTTGATTATTTCACCTGAGTGTACAATATTCTGAAAGAAATTATGATCAACTGGGGAGGGGAAGGAACATTCATGAGAACAAATGAAGGGAAAAAAATGGGGCTTCTGCTTACAGAAAAATTAGTATTTGCTGCCACATGCACTTTTGGAGGGGCTTTTGTTTTTAATAGACATATTCACACAGGAACAGCCGATTACAAAATCTGGAATGCATGAATAACTCAGACTACTATACTGTTACATGCTGCATTGAAATGAGAAAAGAGATGCTGTACGAATGAAAATGATTTGCCTGTACTTTCCCCATGGAATATACCAGGAAGGCAGTTGTTTGTACTGCTAACTTAAAATAATCCAAGCTGACACCGTATTCAAAGTGTCCATTTTGGGAAATGATAGGTTCTTTGAGATGGTCAGAGTAGCTGGGAAGGATCCAGTGATAGGCAGAAATTCAAGGCTCCTTTCTTCATTCCAAAAAATCAAAATATTTTGGTTTCTCAAGAGCGTGTCCAAAACACTTTATTTGCTTTTTATTCCTCTTCAGCCTCATTTGATCTGCAAAAACTTTTTTGAGCACTAATGAGTGAGACCTTTGTTTCATGCTAGCTAACCTGTTTGGCATGCAAGGCCCAAATAATGGGAAGAATGCAAACTAATCAAAGTAAACAGGCTGTGTATCCAGTGTGTGCCTTGCTTCGTACAAACTTAATGGCTACAATCCAAATTCACTCTCCCTAGAGGAAAGCAGAACCCTATGCAAACAGAGTATCTGCCTTCAGAGCAATGCAGGAATCTCCACAAAAGAATCAATATCATGTAATATTTAGAAGGACATTGACCACTTTCTATCTTATAAAATGCAATTTCACTACTGTACAGAGTTGCAGTCTATTTCCACTCACTTATAAACTTGCTGTTTCAGCAATTACTTTCCAGTGTTAGAAGTAAAAATCATTTACGTGAGAAGGAAAGGGGAGAAAAAGCTGGGAAAAAGGGTAAATTACTAAGGTTATGATTCAGTCTGATGAAAACTTGTAATTCATGAAATATTCAAGCACTCTGGGCTGAATCAGATTTGTAACTAGTTATTTCTTTTGATCCGTCCATTATGTCTTTGTTTAACTGCAATATATATTTGCATACAATTACTATATTGCAAGTACTGAATAAAAGTTAACAGTTCAAGAAGTTAATTGAAATATGAGAGTTTTCATACAATTTCTACCATCTCACTAATATCAAGAAGTGACTGAACAATGTCTGTGACCTCCTGTGTGGTGGGAGGAGCTGGTGAGTCAGCAGGTACAGGTTTCTGTGTTCCTCATAAAAGGCTGCCTGGGAGTCTTTCCACCTTGTATTAAATTGCACTCTTCTTTCTTGTGGGAATACTGTGAACTTGTTTAGAGCGACACAGGAAAATATAACAGGGAAAATGCAATGATATCAGGAAACAGGTCAAACAGCTTTGAACGAGAACTCTTTATAAAATGTTTTTTATAAAATTTTAAGAAAAGCGGAGCAATGTAGAGGAAAGGGAACAAGGGGGAATTTCGTTCCAATGAAAGCATCAAATATTCCTGTGTGACGTGCAAGCTAGACATTGCAGCACTGCTCTGTGACTTGTGAAACGAAAGAGAGACCATAGGAATTATTCTGGTCAGTGTGTTCTCAGGGTCTAGCTTGAGTAACTTTCAGAAAATGGAATATAAAAGTAATTTTCAAAAATGAATCTTGAACCCAGTGAGGTTTAATGTATGGCAGGGAAGGAAACTGAGGACTTTTTCACACACCTTAATCTATGCTGCAAGACCCCATCTGGGTTTCTCTGGACTATAAAATGTGTTAAACCCCTGTTTTACACCTTTACCTTTTCAAAAAAAAAAAAAAAAGTTTGCTGTTTGGCTAGCAAAAATGTGTCTCGAGCAGGTGTGGAAGACGGCCACAGGGCTGCTTGTCAAGGACATTTCTGTAAGATCCGGTGTAAGAAGTTTGCCAGTTGGCAGGGCTGGGGTAGAGAGGCACGTAGAGCTGCTGCCGGGAAGCAGTGGGACAGGAACCCTTGGGAGATTGGAGAACCCCGGCCTTCGGGGCTGCCTCAGCCTTCTCTGCCTGTTAACTAGAGAGCGCAACAGTTTCTTAAATCATCCAAATGCCTGCTCCTGCCGCCAGTTCCAAATGTTGAGCCATTTTCTACAGTATGAAATCCTACAATTAGGTTGCAAAATATTGTCAAGCAAAGTCACCGTCTGAGATCTCTAAAACTGTAGGACGGGGAGGATGTAGCTCCTTCCTTTTTTGTATTAACTTGGAGAAGGGAAAGATCTAATTCCAAAGTTTTTTTGAAAATAATTCTTTCTATCACCAAGATGCCTCATATAAAAGAAAAACAGCTGGCTAGACCCTGGGACTTCATTTTTTAGAGACATTTTCTCTCATGTGGGCAGATCTAGGACAGCTGTGGGAAGGAATATGCCAGTTCCTGAGCTAAGAGATCGAAAATGTAGTTGGTCACACTCCATAACCTCTGCCAAACAGTTTTCACAAGGCAAATGCCTGACATCCTATACTAAATACTGAAGACAACTGAAGAATGGACTAGAGAACACCCAATGAAATTATCAGGCAAAAGATTTGACAGACAGAAGGAAGCATTTTTTCACACAACACATAATTAAATTGTAGAACTCCTAACTCAATTGTGGAACTCACTGCTACAGGATGTTACGGGGGCAGAAGTACAAATATATATAGTTCTAACAGTAGTTACCAAAATTCATGAAGGACAGATCCGTTGGCCAAAATGGTCTGAACACACCTATGGCTCAAGACATCCCTAAACTTATCACTGCAAGAAATGTGTAAGATACGCCAGGAAAAGTATCTGTCTATACTTGCCTTTTCTTACATTATTCTCCTGTGCATTCGCTGTGGGGCACTAACAGGACACAGAGCAAGAGAGACCAAAGGGTCTGGCCCTGCATAGCTTTATGATATTCTGGAGAGATGAGGAAAGCTGATTTTTGCATTCAGATTGACAACTTAAACAGAAGGCTGGTAGGAGATATCTTAAATGGCTGAACTGTGCAGACGGAGGAAGACACATGTGAGGGGTATGGAAGACAGTGCTAGTAAACCAGATTGAATGAATATTAAGCTATCAATTAATGAACAGAACTAGGAGATTATTTTGCTTTTTCAGTTTACCAGGACATGGAAGCAAGAGAATATATCTTTCAATAGTAATAAAAAGAAACAGTAGAGAGATGGCATGATGAATCCGTGACATGTCCACAAGCCAGTCCTCCTTTCAATAAACGTTAAAAGGGAAGAGAGACTGACATATGATTCTCATAACCTTTTCTGAGCCAAGGGAGTTTGCATTCCTTAAAGCTCTGTGTACACTGCTAAATTTCAAACTGATTTTTTAAGTTTGGAAGGACTGTCTGTACATAACAGGATTTGTCTCTCTCCAAGCGACGCTAGGGCTTTAGCTTAGAACTGCCTGACATGGATGGGAGGATTCTGAAGCATAAACACAGTATTTTTAAACACTATATGTACTTGTAAATGTTGGGAAAAGTATGATCTTTTCTTCCCTGTGGTTTAAAACATCATTTTAATAATTCCTGTTATTTGGTATTCTTAAGACAGCTACGTTCACAGAAACTCAGTAGCAGTAATTGGACTCATAAAACAACCATCATCTTCACAATAAAAAAAGTTGTCACATATAGCTAATGCTGTAACTTAGTGTGCATATTTAATGCATGAAAAAACACACAACTTCGAGTAGAACAGTTTCAATGTGTTGCACATAGTCTTAAACTACACACCTCCTTGCTGCCCGTAGTAATACCTATCCTGGTATCAGATTTCCTAAACCAAGAGAGGTTAGAATAAGTGACAGATCTAAGATACTAGATATAGTAGAAGAAAGGGATGTTAGCAACAGCGAAGAAAGTATTCCTCTTTCTAAATCAGAACAAAAGTTTGCCTTGCTATGATGCTCACAAACATTACATAGATGGAAAGAATATCTTTTAGTAGGGGAGGAGAAGTAATATTGAGGCACTGATGTTTCTGTTTTTTAATAGGCCTGTAGGTCTGTTTATTCAAACACTGCTGTACTGCTGTTTCCAAATTGCTACCTCAGATAATTTCCTTCTACTTAGATAAACTTTGTCTTAAGTTTATATTGGATAAAACACTTGTGTCTTTCCTAAAGAGATGCTTACTACTGGTGGAGACTGTTTGATTTCAGTCATGTTCTATTTTACAATTGGCTACATTTCAGTAATGAGTCAAGTGCATTATTCTGTACATAAATACCACTTGTACATCAGTTGATTAAGAGCTTTTAAAAGAGATTTGAAAGTGAGGACCGTAGAAATGCCAGTGTTTAAATCCCAGCGCACAGAAGTGAGATCATTAAAAATGTATGTTCACTTCTTGAAACTTGTGTAGAGAAACAAGAGACCCAATGAAAGGCTGTGTAGGCACTCTGAAACATTGTTTTCAGACAATGTACACAAATATGGGACTTACCATGCAAAATGTCTGAATCATCTTCTACAAAATCAATATCTCTCAAATCCCATTCAGCATAGTTGTCAAACTCCTGTTCAGAGGTAATTAATAAATCGTCACTAACTAGCACTAAAAAATTGATATCAAGTTTCAGTACACATAGAACTACTGAAAACAGATATTTACTCATACACGGTTGTACAAGGTTCCAACCTTGGGCAACATACATCACAGGGGAGCTTTAACTAGAGACCATATAATATGCACCCCCGTGGCTGGAATTGGAGCAGGATGCAGTGATAGGATAATGAGAATTAATCAGGTAATCTCCATGACTCCCGCACTGTGGTGGAAATTCTGCTCAAATGTACAAAAACAACAAGCCCCTATATGGCTGAATTCATTACTTCATGTACAGGAGCTTGTTTTGCAACAGGAATTGGGGCCCTCGGCCCACAGCTAAAAACACTGAAAACAATGCAGGTCTTTCAAGTGATCTTTGGATCAGGCTCATATGTGCTTCTCTAAGGCAAATGAAATAGAAGCATGCTGAAGCTGACCCCTTTTGCTAAGCATCTAATTCACAACATCTAGTCCGCTTACATAAGAGCCATTCATTACTGGACATCTGGTGGTAGCAGCATGCCTTACAGCCCGCGCACACAAAGCCAGTGACTCACAGCCTGCCTGCCAGCAGCTTTGTAGGCTTGCAGCGCCACCTCTGCAATTAAATCCTTGGTTTAATCACCCTGTCCTATCCTCTTTTCTGCTGTTTTTTTCTGAAGAGTAAAGACCCATAGGCAGGGGCAAACAAGTGTGTGTTCGCTCATCTTGCATTCAGCAGCAAATTTAAAATAATAGGAGAAGAGAAGGTCTTACCTCAACGAAGTCGGCTCTCGCTGGCATGTACCCAGCCATATCCCTGGAGAGCAAGGAATCAAAAGTAGGCCGTGGGGGATCATCAGCAGCTGAAAAAATAAAGGTTCTTAGTTGTTGTGTAGGGCTTGGGGTCTTTTTTTAATGATCTGTAAATAGGTGTTTCTTTTGCAGGAAAAGTGGGAATAATTAGTTGAAGAAAAACACCCTTACTGGGCTTTTATTCAGCATCATATTCAGAAAAAGACCCAAGTTCATCCAGAGAAAAATGCAGTAATCTGAGATCTTTGTAGTATTCTCAAAAGTCAAACACAGAAATTCAAGATAATAAAGAGGTTATAAAATGTAAACTCTACATTTCAGAGCGCAGCATCCCCCCGGTAAACCTGTGCAGATCACTCGGTCTCAGTGCGCAAGTTCTTTTAGTTAATAGCAGCAGGGGTGTTAAATCTGCCATCTTCTGGGTGCCATTTCCAGAGAGCTGCAATTAAAGCTATACAACTCTGAATTTTTACAGCACTTCCCAACTGAGGAGCTCAGTGTTTTACAGACAATAATAGACCGAGGCGCACAACACACTTGTGAAGGAGCTAAGCATTTTAAGTCCCATGCTACAGATAAAGCAAGATGAGGCACAGAGAATTTGTCTTGGCCCAGGTCACATAAAAAAATCAATGACAGCTAGGGACAGAACCAAAATTGTCTAGTTCCTACTGCTTTAGCTCTAACCACTTTATTGTGAAATTTAAACCTCCAGATACCAAGCAATCTTTTTACCCAGCCATTCTGGGGAGCTTTATAATGGAACAGCTGCTAGACTAGGAGAATTCTAAAGATGTTAAATTTAAGGAAAACTGAAAATTTGTTAAATCGCTGAAATTTAACATACACTTTTTTAAATGCAGTTTTAAAGAGAGAGGTGTGAAATCAGCACCGTTTCAAGGAAATGATTTTATGACAAATCACATCAGCAGTTAGGCCTGGTGCACAGTGGATAATCAGATGAAATGTTTTAAAGATAGAAACCCCTTCTCAGTTAACATTACTACGCAGGGTCTGGACAAGAAAAGTAACCACCCCAGCATGAGGGTGAGAACTCACACTGGTATTTACCATGAAGGACACGTTTTTGTATCGTGCCACACGTGAAGTAGCTTTGAGGTATCTTGTCCTTTAAATGAATAGGCACATCCAGGCTTTTGCTTTGGTGATTTCTGTGAGTGACCATTTCCACTGGCTGTGCACGAACTTCTGGTTTTGAGAACATCAGACCACTCTGTTCCTTCCCTTTTCCCACCAAACTGGCAGTCTTGTTTATTTGATACACCAATGATTTAATACAGAGTGAAGAAAACCCTACTACTAACATTATTGAAGTTAGCTGTCAGAACAATCTCTCCTTTTGGGAATGAAAGCAAACTGTACGTGTGGTGCTTGCCTTTCTCTCAAAGGCTGTTCATTCCAGTTTTGGAAGAGCAGAGACCTTGCAGGGAAGCTCCCTGTGTGCACTAGCAGGCAGGGGATACTCACGGTGGAAAGGAATGGCTGTTTCGTTGTGCTGTGCCTCCTCCGCCTGCTTCAGGTTCAGTAATGTAGATGCAAACAAGGGATTGTTGATAAAGTGTTTCATATAATGTTTCTCACACTCCTCCTTGGATTTTGTACACATCTGGTTGGCTACGTCCTGCCTGAAGTGGGGAGAAGGCGAGGCTTAATATGAAGAACACAAAAATGTTGAGGGTTTTTTTCTTTCTTTAGTGGGAAAAGATAATTTTGGACAAAAGGTTGATCGTGTTGTGTGCAGAGAACTGATCTGTGATGATGTGCGAATTCACATTTTGAGTAGTAACACTGAGCTAATACTTACATGTTTGATACAGTGCTAGGGAGCAATTTTTTGGTGGTCTTGAGTAATGCAATTCACTGTATTTACATGAGAAACTCTGTGGCTAATGGAATGTATCAAATCTTTTATATGCTTGAAATTTAGTATTGTTATTTGAGATCTTTTTATATATTTTACTAACTCCAGCTAATGGTAAATTCTAAGTCCACAACTGCATTCTGCTTCTAAAGTTTCTCCTGTGATTTTAGTGGTTTCCCCTTTTGTGTAGCTATGTTAAACTGTTGGGTTCTTTTAAACAACAAAATGGTTGTACAAAACACATTCTAGAAATCTCTGACAAACTTTCTTGGAAAAGTTGTTGACTAGAAACGTGAAGTACTTTGTCTTAATAAAATGGCTGTGTACATTGAGGACTTAAAAAAAATAAAATCCACCGGCAGCAATCTTTTTAATTTCTGTTAAACTAAAAACTGGATGCAAGGGATTCCAGGAAGAAAAAGCAGTTTTTCCTTTATTTGGTAAATGCTGAAAAAAGCCAAGTGTTTAAGGAAAAAGTTAAGATTACTTGTATTGCTAAGTAGGACAAAGTGTACTAGACAGCATACTTGCAGAACATAAGACTGAAAAGTGGTTGCAGTTAATTATGACAGCAGTGTACACATGAGAACTCACAGTTCTGTTTCGGTGAAGCCTGGAGTTCTATACTTTTAATACAGTTATTTTTTATGATGGAGAAGAGCGATAATTCATAACTACAGATCTCCTTTATTTAAAAATGCATAAAAATCCTGTAGCAACTACAGAAATTAACAACAGAACATGTAAAAATATTAAATATTTCCAGTGCTCTATCCTAAATATGAACAAGAAGCAGGAAATCTCCAAAAATAACAATACCTAGCTAGTCAACTGTAAGCAAACCGAAACCACACAAGATAAGAAATTCTGCAGTTGGCTTTTACAGAGGAGAAAACCGAGGCACGGAAAATATTGTGTTGAGCTCCTTCAAAGCCTAGTGACTTTTTAATGAGAACTAAGGGAACTTTGTGCTTCACTGGAGGTGCCCAGCATCTCAGAAGCAGCCTGTAACAATTTCCTTGTATACCTAACAGCAGATTTGAAAATAGAATCTGCTACTCCAGTCTTCCACTTTAGCTGCTAAATTAGTGTCTCACCCACAGTAAGTCACTGAACATTCAATGTGCACTGATGTATTCAACATCAGATCCAGTGAAATGGAAAACTACCCATCATTCACTGAAGCTGGCTGAACCACTAAATTCTCACCAGTTTCCAAATCCACAGTCCATCACAGCTTCTAGGAGAGCCATTTCCTCTTGGGCTGTCCAGTTAGGATCCAAGACAGGAAAATCAGAAGTCTGGAGAAGAAAAAAGCAAATCAGGCTGCTGTGACCCTCTGTTATAATCCACCACGTGAAGAGCAAAGAAATTCTAAACTAAAGGGCAACATAGTATGTAATAATACCGGTAGTTTTAAACTTTGACTGTGCCCTGTGAAACCTGTTCAAGTAATTGTTGAATTATTTAGGCCATTGTGTCATCAACTACAGTAAAAACTAGTTTGCCTACAAATCTACAGATCTTTGGAAAATACTATTACATGTTGTAACTACGGGCAGTAATTCAACAATATTATGCTATGAAGCACAATAAAAATTACTGAAGATTTTACAAATTATTAATTTTGGGGAAGAAAAAACAAGAATAGAGAAACAGAAGTTGATTCACAAGGTTAAAGAACTGGAAGTCTAGTGAGATACGCTGTGCTATCTAGGCATAATAAAAAAAAAATTGTAGCTTTAAATGTCTCAACTACGCCATTATGTTCCAGGTGGATATTTTTCTTTGCTCTCAAGGAAGACTTTTTCTTTTTTTAACAGTTCTAAAACTCTGAATCAAAGAATTGTATCACTTAACGTTTCAATGTAATATTAGTAAGCAAGGGTCTAATCCCTGGGAAGCTATGAAAGCTCGAGAGTAGGTGTCATCTAAAAGGAATATTTACCATTATCTCGTAAGTGTGATCACTCTGATGTTTCTTGTATTCAAATCCTCGTGTGAAACACTGTAGAACAAAAGATTAGCATTATGTTAGTGTCTTACTTCTGCCCTGAAAATATTTTAACTCGTCCCTTTTTTTCCTTTTATTCTTTGATCAGTGGGTATCCAAAACTGACCACTTGATATGCTGAAAAAGATATCTGATTTTCATAATTTTATTTTAGAAAGAAACATAAAATGGTAGAAAAATCTTTGTTAAAATTATGTTAAATCTGTCTTTGTATCTTACTTGTCTTTTGCACCAAGACATAACTCCTGTGAATCCGCACAGTTTTTTGTTAAGTATTTCTGGCAAAGTTAGGCACGTGCTTGGTGGTATGTTTTAAAGTGGACCATTCCAGGATGAGAGCACAGAGCACTTCTTAAGTATTGAAAAGACAGTTTCCCTTCAGTCTTGGTTTTCTGTTTAAAAAGCCCCAGCATGGTTTGCAGCTATTTGCAACAGTTAAAATTTCTGGGTTTTTAAGTACAGGTAAATGAACACAAATATACCCAATATACAAAATACTGTTTTGTGTATTTTGTGCATATCTGAGCACAAGGTTAAGCACCTTTTCCAGTTGTAGAGGTTAATGTAATTTTAAAATAATAAATAATGCAAATTTATGTATTTAATAATTAAAACTATCAGTACTTTCTGTAGTTATCAGATCACACACACAGTTTTTAAACAACTATATCTGGTTACAAACAATTATTGTCAGTATTGGAAACCTTCCTATAATTTTCTTCTCCATTTGGGAAGAAAAAACGTGTCGTGACAGGGAAAGGGTGTTTCTTGATGGCTTTTCTCTTCCATGCCATAAAAACTGACAGAAACGATCCCTCTCTAGACATGCAGCGGCATGCTCCGTTACACAGTCAGGCTGACTGCATGTCTTTAAGTAGCTTTGGCTGCCTTCACAGAAATCTCCTTCAGTTGCTCATGCCTCAGTTCTTCAGTCTCCAACATTTTCTTTGTCATTTCCCTGTCCCTGAACAAATAAGTGTGTTGATACAAGTTTACAGAGACCAGTTATTAATGTGTTTATGGCACAGCTTGGCACCAGACGGGCCTTTGATGACTTTCTCAAAGAAATTAATGCCTTTGCTTTTATCCTCACACTCACCTGCAAACACAGGAGGAAGGGAGGAGGCCCACACTCAGCACACTTAACGTAGGGCTCTGTGAGATATGAAGAGCAACCTCGGCAAGGAGGCTTATCAAAAGGGTCATCTGTGAAGTCAAAAGTAAATCTCAGGCAACACAAACAAGACACTGGTTTTGCAATCACCTAAATTCACTTGTGCCCAGTAATTTTAAGTGAACTCAACTGCATATAATCTATTTCCTATTGCAGCTTCTCCACATATCTGCTAGAAGTTCCTTGTTCAGCTGGAGTTGCAAGAGGGATGCCAGCACGGCATTCCCACTAGACCAGATGCACTGAGAGCTAAACCTAAGCTTGCGCAGAGGACTCAAAGGAAAATCTTTTCTGTAGCAGCTTCCCGGTAAAATTCAGCAGCGATGCCGGGAGCTGCGCTATCTGGCTGATTGGATCCACTGCCCATGCTTGTGTTCTCCACTGAAGACCAGACCCAAGGCCTTACTCGTGGAGAACACTGCACAGACAGCTCCAGTCTCCCGTCCATCTACCTCAAGGCAGACTTGTAAAGCATATTGCTGTGGTCCAAAGGCATCAACAAGATCGTTCTCTAACCCATCCCAACCTCTGACTCCTCAGATTGCTGAACAGGGAGTGAAACACTGCTCTGCAAGTTTTTCTTATTTTGTCCAGTGCAAAGTAGTCAAAAGAAACAGACTGTCAAGTTATAAGCCATGTTTTTCCAAGAAAATGAATTTAAACTAGTCCAACTATAAAAACTAGACAGAAAAACAGACCCAAATTCCCACTGAATCATTCATGTACTCACGCTCTTGAGAATTTGATCAAAGAAGTGACCCTGCAGACCAAATATTGCTAGTTTTCTGCCTCCCTCCTCTAGATGGCTGCTAATGTCTTTAAGCAATGGAAACATTTTCCAAATGTCATCTTACAGTACTTACTACTGAAGGAGGCCAGGCGCTCCATCCCTCTCCTTCAGTGGTGTTCTTGCTCCTCTGAATAAAGCCTGTCTTGCTTAAAAGCCTGTAGCATAAGCCTTGCCCAGTCAGAATGTCCAAAAAGGGTATTCTCTCCCTACAGACGTCTCTCACGCAGCCCTTGCAGAGGAGATTCTCCCAGAGCGTCCTGAACAGAAAAGCAAAAGGGCTGTCAGCAGCTTCATAACAGGGACCATTTGACATGGCTGAGAGTCTGTTTTCTGCATATGAGAAGAAAGCAAATGCAGAGAGACAGGATACAGTGTAAGAAGAGATGTGAAGTGATGGGGATATAAAGCAAACCCGAACTGAGGCTTTCAGCGGGACTGTGTGTGCTGAGCAGAGTGTTATAAACAGCTGTTGTGCAAGAAAATGTTTTGCACCTTCAAGAAGCACCACGGAGAGAACGAACAGGTTAGAGGTGGCATGGACACAGCAGTGCAAAAATCTACCACGCTGATGTCAACTACATTTTCAGCGATGACTGTGTGGCAGCTTCTGTGAACAGGCCCGATTCATCAGCGCTTGTAGAGTGAGGTTCTATGCTGCTGTCCACCATCAGGGAATTGAGTTGCTTTCAATTGAGGGATCTCTAACATATCAGACTTCTACAAGGTATTTTTGCTGGGAATGGCTCAGGCTTCTCACTTATTCAAATTCATGTTTCTCTTTCTAGACTGTTCTCCTCCGTGCACCACGTGAAGGAAGCATGGTCCCGTGCCCAGGGACACCACTGAAGCTGTGCAGCCCCTCCACACAGATGGTAGCTGCTTCGATCCCGGCTACACATCCCTGTACTGCTGCTGGGATCCCCAGACAACCAAGAGCAACTTCCAGGCTGGACTTGTTACTCCGTGGCCGTAAGTGACACCGCACAGCCACCTCCGGGCACTCACTTCACTCTCTCAATGGCAAACCACTCCAGCCCCATCTACAAGGGTGCTTGAACCTGTGCACCGCTAACCCACCGGTGCAGCACCAGCACCGAGCACAGGCTGCTCCTGCAGCAGCCCCATGCACCGCCCCATAACCCACTCCCCAATGCCCATTCCCCTGTAACCCACTCCCCAATCCCCACTCTCCAGTAACCCACTCCCCCAATCTCCACTCCTCAAACCCCACTCCCCCAAACCCCAATCCCCACTCCCTAATGTCCGCTCCTCAAACCCCACTCCCCCATTTCCCACTCCCCGTAACCCACTCCCTCATATCTCACTCCCCAAACCCCATTCCCCATATCCCACTCTCCAATCCCCACTCCCCCGTAACCCACTCCCTAACCCCCACTCCTCAAACCCCATTCCCCATAACCTACTCCCCACTCCCCCATATCCCACTCTCCCAATCCCCACTCCCCCATATCCCACTCTCCCAATCCCCACTCCCCCATATCTCAATCCCCCGTAATCCTGTCCCTAATGTCCACTCCTCAAACCCCACTCCCCCGTATCCCACTCCTCAATCCCCACTTTCCAAACCCCATTCCCCAATCCCCATTTCCCATATCCCACTCTTCCATTCCCCACTCCCCCAAACCTCATTCCCCAGTCCCCATTTCCCATTCCCCACTCCCCCATTCCCCACTCCCCATTTCCCACTTTCCCAATCCCCACTCTCCCAATCCCCACTCTCCCACTCCCCATTTCCCACTCTCCCAATCCCCACTCCCCATTTCCCGTATCCCATTCCCATCTCCACCCCGCCTCCCCTCCCGCCCTGGCGGACCCTTCTCCCCACCGCCGCTAGGCGGCGCTCTGTGCCCGGCCCCGCCGAGGCCCCGCCCCCAGCAGGCGCTCGCGCGGCCCGTGAGGCGAGTGTGAGCGGCGCGCGCTCCCGGCAGCCCGCGAGCCCGCGCCCGTCTGTCCGTCCGCCCCCTCTCCCCCCCTCCCCGCACCCCGCCCTTCCCGCTTCCCCCGCCCCGGCTCGGCTCCTCCCCGCTCTGGTACGGTCCCGACTCTACTGCCCCCCCCCTCTCCCCGGTCCCTCACGGGCCGGGCCGGCGCGCCGACCGCGCCCACCGCCGTCTCTCACCTCACGGCCGGGGCGGTGGCAAAGGCCCCCCGCGCGCCTGCGCCGCTGCGCGCGCGCGCCCGCCCGCCGGGCCCGCCCTCTCCCCCCTCTCCCCCCCCCCCCCTCCCTTCCCCGTTAATGGCGGCAAATGTGTGCGCAGGTCCCGGCTGTGGGTGCGTGTGTGTGGGGGGGAATCCCCCTCGCCCCGCGGCGCGTGGAAGCGTCGCGCAGGGTGGGGGGGGGGGGTCCCCGCCGCCCGTCCGAGGGCGCTGGTTGGGCGCCCCGTTACCGGTCACGGCGCGGCGAGGCCTCGGCGGCCTCAGCGCTCCCTCGGCTGCAGCGCGCACACGCTGAGGGGGGAATTCAAACGCCTTCCCCTGGCAAGTTAATGCCTCAGTTTTCTGATGGCTTCTGCCGAGGAAATCGTCTTTTAAGCTTCCCCCTTTGAGTTTCTGGGGTAGGGAAGGCAAATCCCGACTTTCCCTTGAGAAAGGGCCCTCCAGTCCCCTCACTATCCTGCCCACGAGATCTCGTGGCTGTCTCCCACGCGCGCTGTGGATGCCCTTGAGAACGAGGTGCACATGTGGGCTGGGGCTTGTTGAGAACATCTAGTCAGGGGGATTTGAATAGGGCTTAACGAGCCTTACATAAAACCCTAAAGCTTGGGAATGATTCAGCTAGTTGCTTTGTTTAAAATAGTCATTTGTTTTCATATTAGGCGATCTGTGCAGCCAGCCCGGCACAGTGGCAATGTGCACCTCAGGGTATTTCTCGTCACCTCTGCATAGCCTCGTACGCCATGTTGTGTTCCCGTGGGGATGTGGTACTCACTCAGAGCCTGGTGTGATTGTAACAGCAATGCTGACAGTTAAAATGTGGTTTAAACACAGATAGTAAGTAGATTCTCTATGGTGCTTTGGTGATGGCAAGTGTAACATTTCATGGATTTCAAATACTTGGTTATACTTGGGCACTGTTCTTGCAGTAAACTTGACCTGCCTGCAACACCTCACATGGCCAGGGCTGTGTCTACCCCACATAGCTCAGTAACCCTGTACCTCTTCCACAAAACTCTTCTGTCATTACTGTTAATGTGCAACATTTTTTATGCTGTGGTGAGATACCAATTTTGTGTGAAATTCTCATCCCCCTCAGAGTGTGCATCATGTTGATTTAGATGAATGGGATCTGCATCACTGCGGGGAAGTGGTATATTGTTCACGGCGAGGCTCAAAGGCTGCTTGTATTCATTTATGCAGATTCTGGGAACTTGAGATGAGAGCTGTTCTCTGTATCAGACATGCAGTCTTTGGCAGTTTGTATCTGAGAGCTGAAGATTGCATTAGATGTAAGTACCTTGCAGATAGATCAGAGATTCATTTTGTATCAGAACATGAAAATGTGATGCACCTACAAGGGCTAAAGCTCAACAATTATCTGTGTTGTTCCTCTTGAGGTTGGAGGAGAAGGTCTGGTATCCTAGGATGAGTTTGCTCCTTATCTGAACTGTTTAACTGCAAGACTAAAATGCTGGAAATTATTTCCTTTTGCCCAGGCCCCAAATGCATGTGAAAAATTATGGGAAAAAATTAAGAATTTGGGAGAGGCAGAGTTTGGAATGTCAATTAAATATTTATTGCTTATGTTAACAGGTTTTTCCTGTATCTGGGAATTAAAATAAGAATCTGGGTAGTTAATGGAAGGAATCAGCCTATGGGAGTCTTCTCAAAAGGTGCTTTATGCTGTTTCCAGGAGGTGGTGAGGGAAAGGTGATGCAACTTCGCAGGTAAAAAGGGTGTTCCTCTGAGGCCTGCAGCTTTTCATGGGTAGGTTTCATGGAATACAATGATTTTAGATCTTTTTGTCTAAGAGTCTTGCTATTATGCATCTGTCTGGAAAGGGAAGAAAAAATATTTCTGAGGAATGTTAAACAACCCTACTCCTAGATTCACAGCAGCGCTCGCGTTTTTCAGATCAGTAATTTAGTGGTGCAACATCTCCTGCCTAAACTGAACTAAAGTTACATCACACCTGATGTCTCCTGGAGGGAGCAATGACATAAAAACTTTTGCCCTAAGTCTGAGCAAATGGTTTTCAGCTAAGTAGAGGCCTAAAGGTGTTACCACCTGATGGCTGTTCAATGGCCTGTGTGAAATGGCCCTTAAGGGTCTCGGTTCAATTTCCAAACATCTCACTACAGCACATTTCTCACCGCAGTTACACTCCAAGAAGTTCTAAGTGGATAATTTGTAATGAATAATGTGCTCACATGCAGAAGTTTTAACAAATGAGGTAATTTTCATTTGCTATTTGAAATTATTTACTGATGATTTCTGCAAATTAAATGCTCTCAAGTGGTTTGTTCTGTATGTGTAATATTCAGAGGGCTTCTCCTGTGTTGACAGGGCTAAGCTCTCCGGCCTCACTACGAGGCAGTTGTTCGAGCTGGGTGACAGACAAGTAAAGGGATAAGCTGAAGTGAAGTGACTTGGCCCCAAGTCGCAGTGAGAGGTGGGAGTAGAGTACAAGTGTTCAACTTTAGCAGTTCACTTCAAGGGGTAGGAAGCACAAGATTAAGTTATTTATGAAAAGGCACCTTAATTCAGGGATATGTAATTATTTGAGGGTGAATGGATAGGCTTAGCTGTCCCCTTACTACCTAGACAGATCTTTACTTGGTAACTTGCTTGCATTGAGGTCTGCTATCTCCCAGTCAGATTGTTGACGCTGACCATAGTACCTGGGGAAGGGAGGCTGAGAGTCAGACAAAAGCTGCCAGTGGCTTCCGTTCAGCGCCCTTCAGAGACAGGGTTAGAAGTGTTGCTGTTTGGTCATGCACTGGTACACTGTCTGCAGACAGGCTTCTTCTGTGGCACCAGGTGCTGTGGATCCAGGCAGGGCACAAGCGCTCGGAAGAGAAGCAAAAGCAGTTTGGGGTGTGTAGGGGATGGTGGGGAATACCAACTGTTCAAAACTCAAAAAAAGGCTGTGTGTTTCTGGAGGGGCCATGGTGGATGCTACTGGATTTTGGGGCATCAAAGTAACACGGCTTTACAGAAGGAAGTTGGCATACCACAGCCAACTTGTATATACGCCCTCAAACAGCATACTTCAATAGTTCATTCTGTAGCCTAGAAAATTAGAGAGGGTTACCTGTCCTTTGAAAGTCTTGCCTGTTCTTTTCCACCCCTAAACTGTTGTTTTTCTGGCACCGGGAGTACCTCTTCCAGCTGGCCTGCAGCCACCCAGGCACAGGAGCACAAGGTTGTTCTGGGCTGATTTTTGACAGAATTGCCTCACATTGACATCGGTAATTTGGGGAGCAGTTGTTTACAACCAAAAATCAGCCATGCCTCCCATAAACCAGTAGCTGGGTTGACAGGGAGCTAGCGAATTACTCTGCTGCTAATCTCTGCTGAGAAGGAGGAACAAGGATTCCTCTAGGAAGAGACGTGTCCTGATATATGAAGAAGTTTGTGAGATGGCTGTGGTCATCAGAGTACAGTGAATTCAGGAGGTCTGCAAATCTCAGACCATGTATTTTTCTTGCCTCACTGTACTGAGCACAAGACAGTTCTCCCTTCCTGAGAACTTGGTAAATGTATTTCAACTCATTCAGTCATAGTTAGACAGATGTATTCTGGATGCGGGGGTGGGATTGACATGAGAAGCTGTCATGTTCAAAAACTTACCGGGCAGGAAATTTCATATATAACAAACATGATATAGGTTATTGCGAAGGCTAGCAGGATGCAAGCGATGAGCACTTTAATGACAATACTTAGTTTTTGTCTGTTCAGCGTATCTTTGTCATTTGTGGATGGAATTCCCTCTAAAATGAGATAGAGAATAATATTTAAAATGTGCTTACAAGTCTTAGACAGTTCAAAATTTTCTTCGTTTTGGTTAGGTTGGGCTAAGTTAGGTGGGCCAGAGCAAAGTAACAAAGGAACAATTCAGTGTCTCCTGTAGGCTTTCACAGGAAGCTAAATCTCTCT